AGGCGGCAGAGGTTGGAAAAACATACTTCAGTATGTAGTAAATGAAACCGCATGTCTACGCCATTCCTTCACACAAACACACAGAGCAAGCAGGATTCATATTTAAATAGTCTTTTGCGGCTTTATATTCACAGACCTTAGTCTATATTGCGTTTTGATTTAAGTGTACTGACTTACTTTTTATTTATTCATCCAAAATTTGGCAAATTCCATGACATTCAGTGTTACACACTCAATTCCGTCCGCGATTAGGGCCCTAAATATACTACACACTACATACAGTACAGTATAAAAAATATATAATAAAAGAATGCCACCATGTCAACACAGCCGGAGTCAGGACAGGCGATGAAGGAGCCATAGCAACCAGATAAAGAGCTTGATTCTACACATTTCCAGTAAATCTGAATCTTTGTTATCTGGTTACCATTCATACCGGTTATCATGGTCATGTTATCATTTAACAGACATTTATCATCCATTACTACAGTGCTCTAACTGCAGGGACGGTCCTCTTGGAGCAGGCAAGTGGCTTGCTCAGGGGGACTATGATAGAGCAGGAAGGCAACCTTTGTAACACTTCCAGTTAATAGGATGTCAACAAAAGCCTTATATTAGCAGCAGAGATTTTTAACAAGTACCAACCATTATGACATTACAGGCTAATTCTCGAGGCAGCCATAGGGTTGTTTTGAATTTTCAAATTTGTGCAGCAGCTTTAAATTAATTGGGCTCTAAGGTTTTCTTCGTCTGATATAATAGGACATGAGGGTGTAACTGATGTCGACTGAGAACAGATGGCATTTATTACCTGTAGACTGTTATAGCAGATGACCCCACCCCCTGTGAGAAAGGGGATGTGCCCTGGCCAAGCCCCACCTACTTCATGATGGGAGAACACAAAAATGTGCACGCTGCAGCCTTGATTGACACATTCTTTAGCCAATGAGATCGAAGAATCTGGTCCTTGGAAGATGGACTAATATGAAACCAAGAGGAAGCAGATAAATAAAACACTTTTAGACAATTAACGTTATGGACAATATTGTGGAGAAATTGCATGTTCTTTAATTCACCTTCACTTTGCTAGAGCTGAAGAAACCAGAGGAGCTTTTCTGATCTGAGCCTTCAGAAACAGGCGAGGAATGAAAGATCAATAATTTGCCTGGAGACGCTGCATCCTTTTGAAATGAGA